CAACCCTGAGGACAGACCAGCGTCACATAACTGAGACTCAAGAGCGAGTTCCTTCATAGCACAAAAAACAGCATGCATTTGAATTCAAAATTACCAACTGATCCCATATCAAATTTTAACCAAATATAAGCAACAGGGTAAAGGGGTGAAGCATCACCAAACCATAGCACCATTTTAAGAGAAAGCCATTGCTTGAGTTTAATTACTCTAATGATACCAATTGCACAGTATGCCACTTTAATTTAAAAGCCCAAACTAACTTAAAACCATAACAGGAGAGTATGAACCTTCATTAAAACTCATAGATCCTAGAGATATGGACATTATACAACCATGATTTTAAACACCAAGTTCAGTAACATAACATTCAAACATAAACCATAGGAACATGGATTCAAAAGGGAATACTGCTTAAATAGACTAACTATTAGCTTAGGAACCATCTCTGAAGTAAAGGGGTTATTTGTGCACCACAAACATGCTGTAACAGTTCGACTGAAATACAAGGTAAAGAGAATTCAAAGGCAGTCCACATTACACTACTTATCATGGTTGAATGCAAAAATCTAGTTACTGATTTGTCTAAGCAAGTTATTAATCAAATTTTTATAACAGTCCAAAATTAGATACAATGATGAGAGCTCAACTATCCAAACTAGAAATCCACTAGTATATACAGTAAATCAGATTACTAAAATACAAAATCATAAAGGAATACAGCTGAATCATAAACAAAGATGATGCTATGCTTTAAACTCCATTTTTCCATTTCATCCTTCAAATTGAGCCTCACATTAAGTAGGATTCAAAAACGTGTACCTGAATATAGCAAAACAAACCAGAAACACAGCTTGAGATCAGGGGGAAGCAGCAGTAGCAGAAAATAGCAATGTAACAGTGCAAAAACCAGCAACTCAAACCAAGCCTTTTAAAACCCTAAATTTAAACCATTTTTCAACCAGCAACACCCAAACAAAAACCCAACTACTTGATTTTGATCTTTCAGAAATTCTAATGAACCAAAAGGAAGCAAAAACCAGAAGCTAGAAACCAAATTTTTCAGCAAAATTTTAGTGTTTTAGAGCTTGGAAAAAGACCCAGCCGTTTTCTCACTTTTCAGTGTTTTTTCAATCTCCAATTTTCTGACTTGTGTGTGAAGAAAGAATGCATTTATAGGCAAACCTTAGGGCAGAAAGAATGAATTCAGTTTTACTCTTTTAATCCTTTTGGAATTTTCCTTTTTGCTAATGTACCCTTAGTTTAAAAATCAGGTTTTCAAATTAGTCCCCATCCCACCTTCCTAGAAGTTTCCCTATTCAGTTACATAAGATTCTCCTACATAAATTTCCTAATTTAACCTTTGAACCCCTGTTTTTTTACTTCAGGAAACCAAATTGGTCAAATTGACCCAAGGTTCATCCCCAGAACCTGGCTTGCCAAACCGGTTTAATTCCCCCTTTTGGACTTCTGATTTTCAGACCACAATCAAACGTCACAAATTAACACGCTAACCAGAATTTCCAAAAGAAAAACCAGAAAACCTTTAAATAAAACCAAAACAAAAGGGGAAATGAACTAATTAGACCTAAATAATAAAAACCAAAAAAAATAAACTAGACTTGTCATTAATCTAATTAAGCAACAGAACAAACGATTAAAAACGAAAACATAACAAAGAAAAAAGAAAAGAGGAGACAGAAAAGAGATGAAGATGAACATAAACGAAAAAGAAGAAGAAAAATGCAAGAAAGAAAAAGAAGCTGAAAGTACCTAAGAGCCAGACGGGCCAAATCTTGAAATTACTCCTCGAGCCTTTGATTTTGACCGAAATGGGCCTTAATCGTGTGTTCTCAAACAAAAACACGCGAATAAGGTCAATTTCAGCCCAAACCTTCACTAAACTCGCTGATTTGGGGTTTTGGGATTTTAGGGTTCGACTCAGATTTAAGATTCGAGGGAATCTGGGGTGATTCGAGGGAAACAGGTTATGGATTGGGAAGGGGAGGGTGTGAGGCTTTTGGGGTGTTGATTTAGGGATGACTAGAGGCGGCGCCGTCGGCTACAATGGCGGAGAAACTCAGGGCGGCGCTAGGGTTAAGTCCGGTCTCTGAAGATGGGAGATGAAGAGTGAGGGAGACGAGTTAGGGGGGGGGGGGTAAGGGCTTCAGACAGTCTTATACTGTCGATCGAACAGTCCCAAGTNGGGGAGGGGGGGAGTCAGGCGGTTCAGACAGTTAAATACTATCAAACACCCTAGTTCTCGACCGTTCGATCAAGGAAGATCAAGGGTCTTGATCAAAAGCAATCGAAACGGGGTCGTTTGGTTCCTGTGTGGGGCAGACCGGGTAGGGGAACGGGTTTTGGGCCGGTTTGAGCGAGTATTTGAGGGTAAAATGATTGGTCTTGGGAGAATTTAAATGAAATGGCCCAAAATCAGATTCTCTCACTCTTTTTGTTTCTTTTTTAATTTCAAAATTATTTTCCCTTTTTTTCCAAATTAAAAATAAAAAACTAAATTAATTCTTAAACCAAATTATACCAAATTAAGTTAATTAACTCTAAATAATAATTACCACAACTAATTAAATACCAAATTAAAAGAAAACTACCAAAATTTGAAGCTAAAAATTAAAAATGCAAAAATAAGTTATTTTTTGTGATTTTTTCCATTTTTGTAAAACAAACTAATTTACTAATTAATCCAAAAAATGTAAAATTAAATCCTAAATACAAATGCAATGTACTTTTTGTTTTTTTTATGAATTAAAAAGATTAAACATGCACCCAAACATGCAAATAATCAGAAAATTCTACAATAATTCATAAAATAACAAATAATTAAAAGAAAAACCTAATTTTTGGGAATTCTGTAGGAGTAATTTATGTGAGGCAAAAATTACGTGCTCACAGCTGCCCCTCTTTGCTCGGAGACACGAAGGGTTTCTGGGCAAAGATAAAATGAGCCATTATGAGGGATTTTTGCCCGTCTAACACTCCGTGAGAAGCATTTTTGAAAAGAGCCTGACCGAACCTTGCTTCAAAGGTTGCCTACATATCCTTGGCTATAAAAGAATCAGGTTAGTGTAGTTCTGGAAGTTTTGGTAGCTGGACTACCAGGAAGCTGTGATTTCATTGTTGCTACTGCTGCTACTGCTTGCTAAACTCCTTATTACACCAAAATGGAAGAAATAAGAAGCTAAACTAGCTAAGCCTATCAGCTACGAGTTACAAGATTCCTATCTATAAATCTCCTGAAGCTTGATCTTGAGTCTTAGCTGGTTCTTGCTGTAGACTCTGATCTGAATCTTGATGCTCGTCAGCTGTAGGTGCTGGTTCTTTCTTCAGCTTTGGATCCAGGCAGGACATGTGAAGCCTGTGACTTCAATCATATCTTGAGCAGTCCGTATCCTTCTCCACTTCAGCACTTTGAGTTCACTTCTTTTTTGTTCTTTTCTCTTCTTTTCTTTATTTTGGATTGAGACTCATTCTTTTGGTCATCCCGAACACTGTGCCTTGAGGTAAAACCTGCTCAGACACCAAAAAAAAAAACAAACGCACAAAATTTTTCTGCCCCAGTTTTACTAGGAAAATTTCGTGAGTTATTTGCAACAAAAATCTAGACTATTCCTTCATTGAAAGCAATAAAATCAGGATTGTGTATCCTTGGGAGAAATAGGGTAGGGAGTGGAGCCCTAAATTGGAAGGATTGCCAGGTTATGCTGGAAAGATGACCAGGTTATGCCGGAAAAGGAAAAGGGTCCTCAGGTTATGCCGGGGAGATCATCGGGTTATGCCGGAAAAAGAAAAGGTCCTCGGGTTATGCCGGGGAGGTCCACGGGTTATGCCGGGAAAGTCATCGAGTTATGCCGAAAAAAAGAAAAGATCCTCGGATTATGCCGGGGAGGTCCACGGGGTATGCCGGGAAAGTCATCGGGTTATGCTGGAAAAGTGAAAAATGTCCTCGGATTATGCCGGGGAGGTCCACGGGTTATGCCGGGAATGGTCATCGGGTTATGCCGGAAAAGAGAAAAAGGTCCTCGGGTTATGCCGGGGAGGTCCACGGGTTATGCTAGGAAAGTCATCGGGTTATGCCGGAAAAAAGAAAAGGTCCCGGGTTATGCCGGGGAGGTCCACGGGTTATGCTGGGAAAGTCATCAGGTTATGCCGGAAAAGAGAAAAAGGCCCTCGGGTTATGCCGGGGAGGTCCACGGGTTATGCCTGGAAAGTCATCGGGTTATGCCGGAAAAGAAAAAAGTCCTCGGGTTATGCCGGGGAGGTCCACGGGTTATGCCGGGAAAGTTATCGGGTTATGCCAAAAAAAAAGAAAAGGCCCTCGGGTTATGCCGGGAAAGTCCACGGGTTATGCCGGGAAAGTCATCGGGTTATGCCGGAAAAGAAAAAGGTCTTCGGGTTATGCCGGGGAGGTCCACGGGTTATGCCGGGAAAGTCATCGGGTTATGCCGGAAAAGAAAAAAAGTCCTCGGGTTATGCCGGGGAGGTCCACGGGTTATGCCGGGAAAGTCATCGGGTTATGCCGGAAAAAAGAAAAGGTCCTCGGGTTATGCCGGGAAAGTCATCGGGTTATGCCGGAAAAGAGAAAAAGGTCCTCGGGTTATGCCGGGGAGGTCCACGGGTTATGCCGGGAAAGTCATCGGGTTATGCCGGAAAAGAAAAAGGTCCTCGGGTTATGACGGGGAGGTCCACGGGTTATGCCGGGGATCAACTAGGGAGTGGAACCCTATAATGGAAAAGACTACCAGGTTATGCTGGCAGCGACTAGGGAATGGGACCCTATGCTGGAAAGATTACCAGGTTATGCTGGCACCGACTAGGAAATGAGACCCTATGTTGGGAAAGACATAGCTAGAGATTGGATACCCTATGCTACAATAATTTTGAATTTTTCTTCTTCTTTTCATTTCATCATTTTTTTTGGTTATTTAAGAGAAATGAGTAAAAATGCAGGAAAGAATTTGGAAGAGACTTCCCTTTCGGATTGATTATTGCTGCAAAGCTATTTCTAGCCCTTGCACAGTTTCTTTTTGTTGCACCTGCTTGTTGCAAGGTTGCTTTTGATTGCACCTGTTTCAATTTTCCAAACAAAGAACAATTGTTAGTTTGAAACGGTGGTTGGTTTTGTGGCATTGATTGTTTTTTATCACTTGATCTCGGCCCAACTTTTGGCGAGAACCTCTACTGCTTGCTGGCTTTTCTGAAGATTGATTTCTCTCCTAAAACCAAGGAACTCAAATTTCCGAACTTTTACATGACGATTCACCCGTATGGGGCTTTGGTCTTTTCACCTTATTCCGCCTCTAGGGGCTTTTGACTTTGGATTTCTTTTCATTTTCAATAACTTTGATTCAGAGCATCGGCCATAATGGCCAGTCGGGATCAACTTGATGCACTTGCTGAGGCTGGGTACTTTCTTTGGACTTGGCTTTTATTAAGCAGAACCCTGTAAAAGCAATCTTGCCACCTTTTCTTTGTATTAGTTTCGGAACAGAGTTAGGCCGAAAGGGATTCAAAGAAAGTAAACAAAGGACAAGAAAGTGAATTTAAGGAGAAGTGTCCCTTTCGGGGAAGAGAGAAGGACTTATCTGGAGTGCATGCAGACTTCAATAGACATGACATGCTTCTTGGACCGAATACCCGATCTGCAAAACTATCCCAACTCATAAACCCATTGTGACCCGTGTTTTAAACCGAGAAACCTTGCCGGGACTCTTTCAGTGCCACTAATGGTGAGGGATTTCTTCTTTTCGATCAACAACGCCCTTTGCGGGTTTTTGCCAATCGACCTCTCTCATTTCTCTTCTCACCGTCGCCTTATAGTTCTCTTTGTGAGTTTTCACTAACAAGACTCTCTCGTTTTTTCAGTTTCTCTGCTCACCATCGCCTTACGGTGCCCATAGGTTTTCACCAATAAGACTCTCTCATTTTATTTCTCTCATCTTGATTGCATCGAATCCAAACAACTGCGTTCTCCGGTTTTGAACACCTTACACCGATCGATCGGAAGGACTTGAACAAGGTTTGGGTAAAAAAGATCTTGGATCGAATTACAACTTTGGAACCATTCCGGCGGGATCATCGCCGACCCATTATAACATCTGCCCTAGTTTCACTTTTGGGGGAAATTGGATTTTTTTTTGGTGTGACTGAACCCCAGAGAGAGGTTGCCTACGCATCCTTTCGGAATCAAGTAGAACGTAGTTAAGGGAAACATTTTGTTTTTGTTGTTGTTTTTTTCATTTTTTTTCAAACATCTTCAAGTTCCAAAGAGTGTAATAAAAGGAAGAGGTAACCGGCTCAAAGGGTTACCAAAGGATTGGAGTGTTTGGGATAGCGAAAATGAAATCCTTCGTCATCCCAACTGAGTAATGTTATTGCTACAGAAGGATTAGACATAGTACCTTTTGACTGCGTCCGCATTTACAGTTGTTTCAGGGTCGTTTCCTTCAATGTCTCCCAGATATAATGCCCCTCTTGGCAACAATTTTCTGATAATGTATGGGCCTTTCCAGTTAGGAGCAAACTTTCCTTTTGCTTCCTGATGATGAGGAAGAATACGCCTTAGAACGAGTTGCCCCACTTCAAAGTTTCTAGGCCGCACTTTCTTGTTGTAGGTGCGGGCCATTCTTTGTTGATACAACTGCCCGTCGCAGACTGCGGCCATTCGCTTTTCATCGATCAGGGTTAACTGTTCCAGACGGGTTTTGACCCACTCACTGTCTTCAATTTCAGCTTCAACAATGAGCCGAAGAGAAGGTATTTCAACTTCTGCGGGTATCACAGCTTCAGTGCCCTAAACCAAAAGATATGGGGTTGCTCCGACTGATGTGCGCACAGTAGTGCGGTATCCCAACGATGCAAACGTCAACTTTTCATGCCACTGCCTGGAACATTGAATCATCTTTCTCAAAATCTTTTTGATGTTCTTGTTTGCTGCTTCGACGGCACCATTGGCTTTTGGCCGATAAGGAGTAGAGTTTCGATGCGTGATCTTAAACTGCTCACATACCTCCCTCATCAAGTGACTATTCAGGTTTGTAGCATTATCTGTAATGATAGTTGCAGAAATACCGAAACGGTAGATGAGATTAGAATGTACAAAGTCTACCACAGCTTTCTTGGTGATAGATTTGAGAGTAATTGCTTCAACCCACTTCGTGAAGTAGTCAATAGCAACCAATATGAATCTATGCCCGTTTGAAGCTTTTGGCTCAATCGGTCCAATGACGTCCATGCCCCAAGCAACAAATGGCCATGGTGCTGACATGGGATGCAGTTCTGTAGATGGTGCATGAATCAAATCACCGTGCACCTGGCACTGATGACATTTCCGAACAAAACTGAAGCAGTCTTTTTCCATAGTCATCCAATAGTAGCCTGCTCAGAGGATTTTCTTTGCCAAAACATACCTATTCATGTGGGGTCGGCACACTCCTGCGTGCACTTCATACATAATTCTTCCGGCCTCTTCAGCGTCAACACATCTTATCAAGTTGAGATCTGGAGTCCTTTTGTATAAAACCTCACCGCTCAAAAAGAAACCACTTGTGAGTCGTCTAATGGTCCTCTTTTGATCCCTACTGGCTTGCTCAGGATATTCTTTTGTTTTCAGAAATCTCTTGATATCATGATACCATGGCTGGACACTCGGTTCTGCTTTAGCCGCATTGCAGTAACCGTGCCTTTCTCGGATTTGGATTTCCAACGGGTCAATGTGGCCATTGCCTGGGTATGGAAGCATAGAGGCCAGAGTAGCGAGCGCATCGGCTAACTCATTGTGAAAACGAGGAATGTACCTAAACTCAACTGACTTGAAACGACTACTAAGCTCTTCCACATGTTGCCTGTAGGGAATGAGTTTGACATCTCGAGTTTCCCATTCTTCTTGAGCTTGTCGGATAATCAAATCCGAATCTCCCATGATCAACAATTCTTCGACGTCTTGGTCGATTGCCATGTTCATACCCATAATGCAGGCTTCATATTCAGCAGTGTTGTTTGTGCAGAAAAAACGAAGCCGGGCTGTGGCTGGATAATGCTGACCAGTGGGTGAAATCAAGATTGCCCCAATTCCAACGCCTTTTGCGTTCACAGCTCCATCAAAGAACATTTTCCAAGCATTGGTGTCTTCGGGTATTACCTCAATTGAATTTACCTCTTCATCCGGGAAGTAGGTTCTCAAAGGCTAGTATTCATCATCGACAGGGTTTTCAGCGAGGTGATCTGCTAAAGCCTGGGCTTTCATTGCCGTGCGGGTGACACAGACTATGTCAAATTCAGTGAGCAGGATCTGCCACTTTGCTAACCTCCCTGTGGGCATTGGCTTCTGGAATATGTACTTTAGAGGATCCAACCTGGTTATGAGGTAAGTGGTGTAGGCTAGCAAGTAATGCCTCAGCTTCTGAGAAACCCAAGTTAGAGCGCAGCAAGTTCTTTCCAACAAAGTGTATTTGGCTTCATAACTGGTAAACTTCTTGCTCAGATAGTAGATTGCCTGCTCTTTTTTCCCGGTCACGTCATGTTGCCCGAGGACACATCCAAAAGAATTCTCCAAGACTGTCAAATACAGGAATAAAGGCCTCCCCGGTTCAGGTGGGACCAAAACTGGCAGGTTCGACAGATATTCTTTGATTTTGTCAAAGGCTTCTTGACACTCATCTGTCCATTTAATTGCTGCATCTTTCTTTAACAGCTTGAAGATGGGTTCACATGTGGAAGTCAACTGAGTTATGAATCTGCTAATGTAGTTCAACCTTCCAAGCAGGCTCATAACCTCTTTCTTGGTTCTTGGAGGGGGCAAATCTCGAATGGACTTTATCTTTGTTGGGTCTAACTCGATGCCCCTTCGACTGACTATAAATCCTAAGAGCTTGCCAGACGGAACCCCAAATGCACATATGGCTGGATTTAGCTTCAAATCATATTTGCATAGCCGCTCAAAGAAATTTCTCAAGTCCCGAACATGGTCGTCCTGGGTCCTGGATTTGATGATTACATCGTCTACATACACCTCTATCTCTTGGTGCATCATGTCATGAAAAATGGCAGTCATGGCTCTCATATAGGTTGCCCCGACGTTCTTCAGACCAAAAAGCATGACCCTGTAACAGTAGGTGCCCCGGGGTGTGGTGAAAGCTGTCTTTTCCATATCGTCTTCATCCATCAACACCTGGTGATATCCTGCGTAACAATCCACGAAGGACTGTATCTCATGTTTGGCGCAGTTATCAACAAGGATGTGGATGTTCGACAAAGGGAAATTATCCTTGGGACTTGCTTTGTTCGAGTTTTCCCATCCTTCTTTGGCACTGGAACTACATTGGCTAACCATGTGGTGTATCGGACCACTCGGATCACCCCCGCTTTCAACCGTTTTGTGACCTCTTCTTTAATCTTGTCACTGATATCAGTTTTGAACTTTCTTTGCTTTTTCCGGATAGGGGGATAATCGGGGTATGTTAGAGACTTGTGAACCACTAAATCGACACTTAGTCCTGGCATGTCATCATATGACCAAGCAAACACATCTTTGAATTCAAACAACAGTTGGATCAACGCATCCCAGGTTTTTTCATCTGTGTGAATGCTTATCTTGGTTTCTTTGACTTCTTCAGTACTACCCAAATTAACCGGCTCGGTATCATTTAAGTTCGGCTTAGGTTTATTCTCAAATTGTTCCAATTCTCGATTTATTTCCCTAAAATCCTCTTCTTCATCATATTCCGGTTCTCGGTTCATTATTTCACAATTAGACAGCATGTTTGGATCTGGGCATGAATTCCGCAAGCATGTCATGTTATTTAAAGTCGCATTATTAGAACTGAAAGAAGAAATAAGAAAGAAAAATAACAAAAATCAGAAAGAGTAGAGAGATGAATGATGAAATATTGATTTCATTTCATTGAATTTGAAGATAACAAGGTTTACATTGGAAAATTAAAGACAAGAAACTAAAGAAAACATCCGAGTTACACCCTGAATAACTCGTGATGTAGAAAAAGTGGCAGGACTGGACTACCGGGCTTCACGCCTGATTGGGAACGGAGTAGCCTTCTAATTTTGCAGCTTAGCATTGGGTCCCATGTATAACACCTCAGCGGTGCTTGAGCCTTCTCCCGGCTGAATCATGTGGGTTTCATACAGCATCTGCCTTATAGCCCCATAGATTTCTTCAATTTCCTCGGTCGTGAAGACCTCATCTTCCTCTTCCTCATTGTATCTAGGCCTGACAAAGGTTTTATAAAGATGCGGAATCGGCTGAGGCAAGACCCAACCATTGTTCTTTCTTTCGTCTGCCCATTTTCCATCAGCTGGCGTGGGTTGGAAACCTACCCCAAAGAACTTCTCACTGGCAGCCAGGGTGATAGGTTCAGTAATTCCTTGCAATGAATCCCGAGCCCCTTCCCGGGCTTGTAACCATGTCTGATCATTTCTTTGGCAACCATAATTGATGCGTTCGAGAGAAAGGGTTGGGGACAAGGGTTTCCTTCTTCACATTGGTCTGCGACCACCACCTCAAAAGCTTGATAAACTATATGCTCACTACCTTCTCTGGCTTTGAGGCATGGGACTGATGGTTCCCGGTAAATCGACTGCTCGTCCTCTCCATGGACTACAATCTCTTGATCCTCATGTTCAAATTTCACCATCTGGTGGAGAGTGGAAGGTACAGCCCTGCTGCGTGAATCCAAGGTCTTCCCAAGAGGAAATTATAGGAAGTATCCATATCCAGGACCTGAAAGGTCACCTCGAAATCTACCGGGCCAATAGTCAAGATCAGATCAATTTCACCAATAGTATCTCTCTTGATGCCATCAAAGGCACGCACACAGACGTTATTGGGCCTTATTCTCTCAGTACCGATTTCCATCCGGTGCAGAGTTGAGAGAGGGCAGATATCTACCCCAGAACCACCATCTAGCATGACCCTTTTCACATAATATCCCTCGCTTTTAACTGTCAGATGCAGGGCTTTGTTGTGGGCGGCCCCTTCCGGAGGCAAATCATTCTTGCTGAAAGAATCTGATTAATTTCAAAAAACCTTTCCGCCATCCTCTCCAACTGTTCCACAGTGGTCTCAATGGGTACATACGCGTCGTTGAGGGTTTTGATCAATACTTTCTGATGTTCAGTTGAATTCATTAGCAGAGACAACAAAGAGACCTGAGCAGGAGACTTCCGGAGCTGGTCAATTATCTCGTAGTCCGCTATTTTCATTTTTCGGAAGAACTCCTTTGCTTCTTCAGCACTCACTGGTTTCTTGATCGGGAAACGCTTCTTTGTGGCATTATTCACTTTCTCCAGATTGAGGTATTTCTCAGCCAAACTTCTTTCCTTTGATTCTCCCAAGACTTCTTTTCCTTTATAAGTTATTACCGCTTTGTTGTAGTTCCATGGAACGGCAGTGGGATCTGTCATGGGCCTTTGCGGTGCGCGGCCAATAACCATAGGCTCATTCAGCCTTGGTGAAATTACTGGCCCCCGCACCACGTAGGTCCCTTTAGGCATATACATTTTGGATCCCTTGTTTAACTTAAACCTTCTTGGAGGGCTCAATGATATCTGTTCTTTCTTGCGGCCCCGGGGAACATAAAGAACGGCATCTTTTGAGGGTGCTGCCCCAGTTCCAGTTTCCCTTTTCTTTTCTGTATTCTGAGGGGCGAGTTTACTCTTTTTCTCCGCTTTGTCCTGTTTTGCGGTAGCCCTTGGTTTCTTTTTCACATCGGCTATGGCAATGATAACATTTAAAGCTAGGTCAAACTCCTATGGATTACATTAGGAATGTCTTCGTCCTTTAGCACTATGAGGTTTTCCACAGCTCTCTTCAAAGTCCAACAACTCTCAGTGTCGTGCCCTTCACCCCATAATGATAGGCACATCGGGTGCCAGGTTGGTAAGAAGGTGACTTTGGGTTTTGCCTATTTGGAGGTGCGGGTTGCAACAAACCCATTTGGACCAATTCGGGGAAGACGCTAGAATATGACTCGCCAATAGGTGTGAAGTTTGTTTTCCTTGGCGGCTCCCGTGCACGGGCATTGTAAGGGAAATTATTTTGTGGGGGTCGGGGATTGTACTGAGCTTGGTGAGGAGGTTGATTTCTGGGAAATGGAGCTCGGTTTTGGTGGAATTGTTGTTGTGGCCTAGCATATGGTTGGGCATTCATTACTGCATACGGCTGAGGAGCCATAGCATAGGCTGCATCTTGATGGGGATAATAATGTTGTGGGTTGTTTTTGGAGAAGTAACTTCTGGATGGACGGGGTTTTCTTACACTTGAAGTTGCCATTGAAGCTTCTTCTTTCTTCTTTCGGTTTGCTATACCTCCAGACCCGTCTTGAATGGCTTGGGAGGTAGCCCTTATAGCATACTGACTCAGGATGCGCCCTGTCTTTAACCCATTCTCAACCATTTTGCCAATTTTGATGGCCTCGGCAAATGGTTTTCCCATCGCAGACATCATATTTTGAAAATAATCGGCCTCTTGGGCTTGATGAAAGACACTGACCATCTCTGTTTCATCCATTGGAGGCTTAACTCTGGCGACTTGCTCGCGCCATTTGACAGCATACTCTCGGAAACTTTCCGAGGACTTTTTCTTTAGATTTGACAATGAGTTCCTGTCAGGGGCAATGTCGATGTTATATTGAAACTGCCTGACAAAATCCCGAGCCAGGTCGTCCCAGATATGCCATCGAGATATATCTTGGTCCATGTACCATTTAGAAGCAATACCGACCAAGCTCTCTCCAAAATATTGCCATAAGGAGCTCTTCTTTTCCACCTGCTCCCTGCAATTGGTTGCAATACCTTTTGAGGTGGGCTATGGGATCCCCATGCCCATCATACTTTTCAAACTTTAGGGTTTTGAAGCCCAAGGGTAGATGCACGTGTGGGAACATACACAGGTCAGCGTAAGATACACTCTTTTGCCCGCTCAAACCTTATATATTTTTTAGA